CGCCGAGCGGGGATCGCGCGCCCGCCGGAGGTCGCCGGCCGGGCCCCCGGGCGGGCGCCGGCGAGCGGGACGGCCCCGCGGCGGCGGCCGCCACGCGCGCCGCGCGCACACAAAGGGGCCCGGCCGGCGACCTCCGGCGGGCGCGCGATCCCCGCTCGGCGGCGTCGCGCGACCCGCGCCTCCCCCACCCGGCCTGAACTTACTGTGGGAGCCCTGAGTGGAGGGGGGCTGGCAGCGCTGGTGCCCCCCGCTCCTCCCCTTCGGCGCGGCGGAGAGGCACGGCGGATGGCTGCAGGCGGCGTGCCCGGGACGGGTTAGGGGAGGCGGGGAGGGCGTGGGGGAAGGGGAGCGCGGTGGGTGGGTTTTGGAAGCTGGGTGCATAAACAATGGCGGAGGGGAGAGGTCCCCTCTACAGGAGCGTCTCCTTCAGGCGCCTCGAGAGGTGGATCGGGCCGGGAGGGGCGGAGGAGGGCGGCGGCCCCCGGGGGGAGCTGCAGCAGCAGCAGCGCCCGGGCGCACAGGCGTGCCAGGCTCAGCCTCCCAGCGCCAGGGCGCAGCAGCCGCCGTCGTCACCGGAGCCCATCGGGCGGCGGTCGCCCAGCCGCGCCGCTTCCTTCAGCGTCTCCCGCAACGTCGTCAAGATCGCCTCCGCCTCGGCTGGGCCGGACCAGCCGCCGCCGCCGCCCGGGGGCCGAGCCCTGCGGAGCCTCTCGCCGTCGGTGCGCCAACTTTCCCGGCGCTTCTGCGCGCCCCCGGGGGCGGACGGCGAGCAGCAGCCCGGCGAGGCGGCCCGCGGGAGAGCCACCTGTTGCGGGAGCAAGCGAGACCCCCGCGCCGGGCCCGCCGATGAGTCCGGCGGAGAGGAGCCGCCGCCGCCGCCGCCGCGGGGCAAAGCGCTGAGCGAGCCCCGCAAAGGCGGCGAGGCGGCGCTCGACTGGCCCAGCGTGACCGAGATGCGCAAACTTTTCGGCGAGAGCTTTCGGCGGCAGCAGGCGGCGCCGGGCTCCGGCATGGGCGACGCCGCGGACGACGCGCCGGGGCTCCGCGCGGGCCCGCACAGCCTGGCGGGCAGAGCGCGGGATCCGGCGCCGGGGAGCGCCGCCCCGCACCTGCGTGGAGCCGTGGACGGCGGCGGCGGCGCCCCGCTGGCCGACGGGGCCGGGCCGGGCGGCAGGGAAGAGCGCAGGCCCGTCGCCTGGCGCGAGGAGCGCAAGGAGACCCCGCCGCCGCCGCCGCCCCGCAGCTGCATCCCCTTTCCGGGTCTCCGGGCGCACCGGGCGCTCGGGCCGCCCCCCAGAGCCGAGGCCGAGCGGCCGCCGCCGCAGCCACCCCAACTGTGGGATAGTTTGCATTCCTCGCATAGTTCCTCCAAGCCGCAAGCTGCCCCTGGCTCCCCCTCGCCGCCCCCCGCCGCCGCCGCCGCCTCCTCGCCAGCCATCAGCGGCTTCGCGGGCCAGGGGATCTCCGGCAGCGAGGAGGCGCTGCTGCCGCCCGGCCCCGGGGCGCCCCAGCCCGCTTTCGCCCCCTCCGGCACTGGCAGCAGCTGGTCCCTGTCTCCAGAGAGGTCTTCGGGGAGTGAGGAGGAGGAGGACCCCCTGCAGCCCCCCAGGAAGCACTCCATCCGGAAGACATGGAAAGACCCCAGCCTCCAGGACCAGGCCTTGAGCAGGAATGGGCTGGCGGGGATGGAGTGGTACCTCAAGGCCCAGCAGGACGTTTCCCAGTACCCCCTGCTGCCTGCGGATGAAAGGACCAGGTCATCGCCCACTGCCAGCCTCCTTGGGGAGGCCAGGACTGGACGCAGCACCAGGGCCCCCAAATCGTTTGTTCGGGGTGCGCCTGAAGGCAGCGGCTCTGTTCTTGGCCCGCCTGGGGCCCTGGTCTCAGCATCTCCCCTCCCGCTGGTCTCCCGTGTCTCCAAAGTGAACATCCCCCCTTTCGTGCCAAGCCCTTGCGGGTCGCGGAGCAGCAGTCGTTACTCGAGTACGGAGACCCTGAAGGATGAAGACCTCCATGGGGCCCCCTGGACTGGCCAAGCCAGGAGCTTCCCGAGTGGGCTGGGGATATATCGGTCCCCGAGCTTCAACCAAAGCGACAGCCTCGCCCGGCTGCAGCCACAGATCCGAGCTCACCCAAAGCTGCCTTCAGGGGTTGTCAAAACGAAGCAAGAGGCCCTGGCTTTTGAAGGCCTCCACACCTGTGCCCTTGAAGCCAAGGAAGAGGCCAAGCACAGGAAGTCCATGTCCAACCCAGACATTGCCACAGAGACGCTGGCCCTCCTCTCCTTCCTCAAGTCGGACCTCTCCGAGCTGAAGGCGCGGAAAAAAGGGCCCAGGTTGGGTGTTCAAGAGGAGACGGCCCTCGGCAGCTCCAGCAGGAATGAGAGTTACCCCCACAGCTCCCCGGGGCTCCACCTTGGCAGCAGATCCCCAAGCGAGGCCCAGCCACCCAACCGCTGGACGCTAGGCTGTCGGCCGACCCTGAAAGACCTCACGGCAACTCTGCGGCGGGCCAAGTCATTCACCTGCTCCGATAAGCCAGCGCCCCGCAGGCTGTTCTCCCAGAGTGCCCTGAAGCAGAGCTGTTCAGAGCTTCTCCTGACCAGCGCTGGGGATCATGACGGTGCAGCCTCTGACAGCGAAATTGGGCGCGCTGGGGAGGATGCGGGTCTCCCCGTCATCATCCAGGACCAGTATATTCAAGAAGCCAGGCAGGTCTTTGAGAAGATCAGCAAGATTGGATCCCAGCATGAGTATAACTTTGCTTTGGACCAAAGAGACAGTGAAAGCATGAAAGGCGAAGCAAATGATTCAAACACGCCACAAGAGGAAGCCCCGGGAGGGAGCTGTGGGCCAAGCTTGGGGAAAGAGGGCTCTGAAGGAAAGCTGCCTCATCGGAAATCGTCCGAAGAGCTCTCAGGCCCTGAATCCTGCCTAATGGATGAAGGCATCGTGACTGAGCCAGAGATGAGTCCGGCCTACAGCTATCTCAGCCCATCCGGAGCAGCCTGGAAGTCATCTAATCAAAGAGGAAGTGAAGGTGGCCAACTGGAGAAGAACATGGTGCTCCTTCCAAACCACATTACCAAAGTGAGCAACGAGAAGGCCGCTCCTCCTGACGAGACCCTGCCCAATAGCAAGATGTTGGAGGCACCGTCGACTCCTAGTGCCCTCCGACGCCGAAGAAAGTTTCCCTCGGTGGGAAACAATGGGTCTGAGCCCAGCAGTGGGAGCAATGGGGAAGCTAGCGGCGAAAATTACAGATCCTTGAGCGATCCCATGCCCCACCGGAGATGCTCCATCACGGAAGACTCCAAGAACTTCTCTGTGGACAGCAACCTCCTGGGTTCGTTGAATTCCAAGTCTGGCCTCCCGGAGTCCTCAGCGGTAGCCCTGTCCGAATGCACGGGCAGCGCGGCCAGCGACTTGTCTGTCTGCAGCGATGGCCTCCGGGATTACAGCGCCATGATCCAAAACATTGTTAGCCAACCCGGAGCTCTGGACAAAGTGATCGATGAGAAGGGGAACGGCAAGACGATCAAGAAGAAGTCCTTCAGTGACCCCAGCCGCCGGGGAGAGCTGGCCAGCACGGGCTTCGACGGGCCCGGGGAGCCCATCAGCGAGATGGAGCAGAGCATCCCCCCGTCCAGCAGCGAGCCCATCCTCTCCGAACCCCGGGATCAGGCGAGGCAGCAGGAAGCGTGCGGGCCGTACTCGCTGTCTGAGCACGTTCTGTCCCCTCTGGATGACGACTTGGATGAAGTGGGCCAGAACTATAGCTTCGACCCCAAGCTGGCCAAAGTCCTGTCCCCCAGGATCGCCCGCCGGAGCTCCAAGAAGCGCAGCAACCGGGTGAACTGTCAGGAGAGCAGGACCGAAGAGGCCACGCCATCTCCTGCGGGCCCCACCGGCCTGGGAAGGCCACGGCAGCCCTCCAAGCATGTGCGCCACACCAGCGAGCCTGCCACCTTCCTCCCCATCTCCGATGCCCACCCGCCGGCTTCGCAGCACCAGAACACGCCGGAGCCCTCTCGGCTGCCCGCAAAGCCCTACCAGGTGGCCCAGGCTCCATCCTTGGAAGACGTCACCAAGCACTACATGTTGGCGCTCAGTTCAGGGGAGCCCTCCTCTGCCAGTGCTGTGGATACCCCCAGATTGTCTCCTGCCACACCCACCTCAACGGAGCCCAAGCTGCCCAGATGCCCGAAACATCATGAAGAACCGAGCAGTGTCGGCACCAGGAGCAAGCCGCAAGTGGTGAGTCCCCCAGGTTTCTTTTCATGGGTTTTGATTGAGTGCCTTGGGCAATGGACGATGGTTTGGATGGTTTGGATGGGTTGTGTGCACTGACATTGGAAGGTGGGGGGTCCGTAATATCTGCACTTGCTTGAGCAGCTCAGGTGACGTGGGCTGCAAAGTCACTGCCCATTTCAAGTGTGGTGACTCTGATCCAGTTGTGAATTCGATCGGGTTTGAAAAGGGAATGCCGTCCCAAAGGATGCCTTTAAAAAATGGAACGTTTAATGTTCTGGAGCAAAGAGCTCCTTCGACTTTCCTTATAACAATGGTTTCAGTATATATTTATTTTCGCATCGGCATCTTTGAGGCTGTTCCTCTTTTCCGTTCTCACCTGTTCTGGTGCTTCAGTTTTGGCTCACCAAGCGTAAACGTCATGGGCCTGCGTGGAGGTGGGACGGCGCAGTGGGACGGGCTCTCTGTGTTGGCTTTCCGAGGAGAACCCAGCACTTCTTCCAGATGTTTCTTGGAGATGCGGTTCGTGAAGTGGGCCCACGAGAGCGAACGATGACGTGGGGGCACGAGGTGGCAATGAGGCAGTGCTTCCCATAGCTGGATTTTGCTTCCCTAGTCATCATGTCCGTGTGAGCCCAAGACGTGTGCATACATCAGTTTAGATGTGCTGGTGCCTGCATTTCCCAGTGTGGAAACAAGCCTTGGGGCCTGGACGAAGACGTATCCCTCAGTGGAGACCCGCCAGGTCTGGAGCTGGTGCGGTTGGCATGAATGGTCTTTGCAGCGGTGAAGAACTAAGGCGGCGGTCCTCAATGTGGCCTGCTCCAGATGGGCTGGAGCACAAGTCCCATCATCCTCAGCCAACATGGCTGCCTGCTGGGTGATGGGAGTTGTGGTTGTGCCCATCTGGAAGGTGCTGTGTTGGGGAAGGCAGATTTAAGAGGGACAGGAGTAAAACACACATGGAGAAAAAGGTCCAGTTGTGTATAATTGTCCCATTTACCTGGCAGAAACACAACTGGATCTTTCTGTAGGTTGGGCTTACATGAGATTTGGAAAATCCCCTCTATCTAGAAAGCTAGGGTGTCAGGCAATGGGATTTGGTGTGCGGTCCTTCAGGTGTGTCTTCCAGGCATGTGGTCCTTCATCTTTAGGCACTGCATTTTTTTCACATACATGCCACCATGTAACCCCCCCCACCATTCACAGTGTGATGGTTCGAGAACCCTCATGTGGTACAGTCCTGACTGAAATCTGTACTGGTATAGTTCAGACACTGGTTTAATGTATCAGCAAGAACTAGGCGGGAGTGTGCAGTGTTTGTAAACTCCCGCAGCTACTTCCTATTGACCATTAACCTTTTGGCAGATTGGACTGGGTCTTGATAGAAAAGAGATTCCAGTTGCTCCCCTGAAACACTCCCTTATTGACCAGCAGTATGGCTGGTTCTCTGGGCTCTTGCCCCCGTGATTCACTGCCCTCTGTCTCCTCTGGGTAATGCATTTTTAAAAGGTTTTTAGTGCAAAGCCATTTCCAAATGTCAGGACTTTTCCTGCTTAAATCAGTTTCTCTTTGCACTTAAGGCAGTTCCTGAGCAGCAGGTGGGGCTCCTCTTGTGCCTGGTGCGCACGCATGCTGCCAAGGATCTTGCGGAGCTCTTGAATGCTCCTTAAATCGGTGCGCTTGTGTGTGTGCGTTTTTATCAACAATGTGCGGCAGGTAGGGGTGCAGGAAGCAACATGTCACAGACTAGCTTTTCCCAACCGTGTCTCCTCCAACTGTGCTGGAGTGTGGGCCACACTGGCTAAGAATGATGGGCATTGCAGTCCCAACACATCTGCGGGCCGCGGATTGTGGGGGCCAGCCCTGTGAGGAGGTCCATGCCCAAAGGAATGTGTGCACAGATGCGCGAGCATCTTCCTTTTCATTCATCTGTGGCAGCTCAGAGCTTTTGCAGGCATCGTCCGTGGCTTCCTCCATGGGTTTTTTAGCAGTCCCGCTTCCCACACAGGCCTGTAGCTCAGGTGTCCCACAACTATACCTGTGGCACACTGGCGGGGAGGGAGAAGACGCTCGTGAGGACACCTACGACCTGGATTATGCGTGATTTTGGGGAAGGCACCATGTGGAGCTAAGCAGCAGGACTGGCTGCAGGATTGCTTGTTTTTCATGTGAACGGGGACTCTGGCCAGGTTGGGGGCCAGTCAGCTGCATCGCTGAGGCTTCTGTGCCTGGCTGGGCCCCTCCTCTCCCCTCCTTTTGGGCTGTAAGAGTTGCATTGTGGCACCCAAACACAGCAAAACAGGGTCAAGTCCGGTCTCTTGCACCTGAACATGGGCTTCTGCTCACCTGCAGAGCCAAGAGGGCAGCACCGGAGGGCCAAATGTTGGGGCTTCCAACATGGTGCCTGCCAGATTCCCTGATCTTCTTAATATTTTTTGTGCATTAAAAATAAATTTTTACTTCCATTTGAGCGGCATCTTTCCTTTGGTTCCAAAGAGTGGTTTTGGAGTTCAGGGTCAACCTCTGTGTTGTACTATTATTATTCTGGCACTGCATTTATAGCCTCCCTTTCTTCTCTTGTGGGAAACCCAGGGTGGATTATGCAGCACTGTTTTATCCCCGCAACAGCCACCCTCTGAAGTAGGCTAGGCCAAGACTGAGCGACTGGTCCAAAAGTCATCCGGAGGCCTCCTGGCCTAGTGGGCTCTTGAACCCGGGTCGCCGGGGTCTCATTGTCCCTGGGTCCTTGCTTCACAATCCCCTCCCTTTAGCCCCGCCAGTTTGCCTTGTGGGAAATGAACATCCTGTGACTAGCCCTGCGCACCGTGGCGGCCATTTTATGACTGTGCAAGCCCTCCTGCCATTTTGTGAGAGCGTGCGTGACATTTTCTCCGGATTCAGGGTGCCCACTGACCCAGAAGAGTTGGAGGCGCCCGTCTTCTGTGGGCACTGGGTCCAAAAGACAAGGCCATGTGCCGGTGTTGGGGCTGGAGCACCGAAAGCATTGCCCCAGGGCTGCACCTTCTTCCTGTCTTGCACAGGCAGACATGGCGCAGTCCAGGACGACGTTAGCTCCGTGAACGGCCCCGTGTGTGGGCCAGCGAGGCCCAAGTGCGTGTTCCCAAATGCTAAAGCTAGTGGTTTGGATGCACCCTGTTGTGTGTGAACATTGCCAGAGATGGTTCCCTGGACTGCTATATAAGGCCTCCGTAAAGTGTTAATGTTTTGGCTGGCTGTTGTCAGTTTCATGCTTAGAACATTGGATGAAAACCTTTTCTGTTCCTCTATAGGAGGTTTATATTGCTTTTTATGATTATTATTTTCATTTGCCGTTATTTCTGATGTTCTGCCCATTGTCTCTGTAACGCAAAAGTGTGTGAAGTTGTTATTTCGCACAGCCTTTAATATCGTAGCAGCCCTGCACAGGGGGTGTTTTTGCCAAAAGGACGGGATGCGGTGCGGGCTCCGCTCATCTTGTGTAATATAGGCTTGTTGTTTTTCTTTCTAAACCTCTGGATGCTTTCATTTTAGCCAGCTCGGGGATGAAGTGGGGGAATTTGAAAATAGACTGAGAATGAAAATGATTTCACTTGCTTCCAGATACGCAGCTCAGGAATGACCCAGCTGAACAATACCTCGCGTGCTTCTTTGTGTTATTTGTGGTTGTGGTTCTGATTTTGCAATAAGCGTAGCTCTCCAAAGTTTCCTTGCCTGTGGCATCCTTCAGACACGGAGGCCCTCATGGTACGCGGAGTCCCTGCCCCGCACCTTTCCAGACTCTCTTTTTGTTCTTCTGGTTTCCCTGCTCGGTTTTGCAAGCCCAGCTCAGCAGCTTGCCAATGATACCAGACCTAGCCTCCAGGCATCCCGGGGCAGGGGGGGCGGGGGGGGGAGGCAGCCCTGCCTGCGGATCCATGTCTTATCTAACCCAGATTTAAAAAACAATTGGGTGTGCAGGGGATCTGTCTTTTGCAAGTGTGCAAGGGCTCTTAACGGCTGTATCATATGTTGGTCTTGCCTGGTCAAGTTTCGGCTCTCAAAAGGAGCAGTGAAGTGGAATAAGTTAAGTACAAGGAAATTAAAAATGATTCCAAGAGAAAAGGGGGATCTGGTGGCACAAGCCAGAGGCACCAAAATGTGGGTGGGGGAGAATGGAGATGCAGCCAAAGGGGGGAGGACAGGGTCTGCCACTCTGCCTTGCTCCCTTTTCCTGGCTGTGCTGATGGTTCTCGGTGACCTGCACCGTCTCAACACTTCCCTGACTTGCCAGCTGCTCCAGAAAGGGGGATACTCGCTCCCCAGTCCTTTTACAACTTCCTTTTTGGGGGTCCCTGTCTCTGCAGCCGGTGCAGTTCCTTGAGAGTTTCAAAAATACCCCGAGGAGGCGGCAGAATGGAGAGAGCGAATGGGCCCCCGAAGTCCAGCAGCGGCCCCCTTTGCTCTGGTCTGGTCTGCCTCACTGTAAGTGTCAGAAATATTTGGGCATATTTGAATTTTTTTTGGACTAGGAAATACATGCAAATTTAAGTAAATGGAGGGGAAATTTGCACTTCTGCAGTATTGGAGCGGTAATGCCACTAGCTTCCATACTTTCAGGAGATTCACATGGTAAAATGAATAAAATGATCTGACTGTAAAGATATGGTTGCAGCTTTAAAAGCGGGCTTCTTTTTTTAACAGGACTTCTGTGATGGGTTTGGGAATTTCCAGGGTTTTTTTTTTTTTACTAAAAAATGACTCTAAGAAATAGGTGCTTAGTGTGAGAACATGGTGTGTTGCCTTCAGTTTTTCTGATTTCTTCCTTCCTGGGGGTGAAGTTATGGGGTGGAGGTTTGGTGCCTTGGGGCCGTGGGCATCTGTTGCATCGTCATCGTCGTCATGGTTGTCCTCATCACACTGCATTTATATTTCACCTGTTTTCCTCTTGTGAGGAACCCAAGAGGACTTACCTACCTGTTTTATCCCCACAACAACAACCCTGTGAGGCAGGCCAGTGACTGACC